GCAGTAGCTTCATATTGGGCTTTATTCGTCTTGTACAGCTCGGCAATTTCTGGCACAAATGGATCGTCTGGGTTCGGCTCATTGAGTAGTGAGTAGATGGACACCAGCGCCTTGGAGATGGAGAGAGCGGGCGACCATTGATCTTTCAAGATATCCAGGCAGATGGAACCATTGGAGTTGATGTTAGGGTGATAAACTCGTGTAATGAACATCATCCTGGGTGGTTTGAAGGGATAGCCGGGCGGGATATGGATGTTTAGGTGGAACTCTCCACCGCTATATGGACTATCGGGTGGACCGAGAATGGTGGCATGCCAGTGGGAAAAATCTTCGCCGAGAGGGCTAGCAATGCATGAAGGCGGTGGATTCTGCACAATCTCGTCATAATCTTTAATGATACGTTTGTGAGCCATAGGAACAATTTGTTGTTAGTTGTTGTTAGTTGTTGTTTGGGTTTTGTTTGGAGAAGGGTAGTTGGTCGAGTGAACTACAACAGGATGAAGGAAGAGGGGCAGAGCTGCTGCGATTGTTGGCTGAATTTTGCGATTGTAGAGGGTGTGCGACTATTTATTACTGTAGTGTTGAATGGGAAGCACTTCTTGCTGGGAGGTCAACAGGAAAGGTTGAGTGACTCTGAGCGCCTAGTCAAGTAGATATGACGTAAAGAAGTCAAAAGACAGGAGAGATGTTGCGTGTTCACACCGGGGCTGGGTGCATGAACAAATGGAAACAACACTCTGCTACTGATGCGGATGAGAGTGGCGCATGCTTCGCGTTCACCGACGGTGGATTCCAGCGCGATAAGAACAGAGGTTCCTGACAGCCAGTCCGCGGCGTACATGGATACGTATCCGAGCAGCATCCACCTGTGATTTTAACGGGTCATCCGTTCAAAAAAAATGGACAAGAGAGGTGAAGAGAAGTAAGAACTAAGAAATTAACGAAATTAACGACTGTGACTCCACAAATACGACTCGCCGCACTATATAAGTACTAATTGATGATTTGGTTAGGACCGGCGTACTTTTGAGTCCATTCGCGTACAGTGGCCTCGTACCGAGCCCTATCCTTAATGTACAACTGGGCAATTTCTGGCACAAGTGGATCGTGTGGATTCGCATCAGTGAGCAGCAAGCCGATGGACAGCAGAATCTTGGAAATGGTGAGAGAGGGCGACCACTGATCCCTCAGAACATCCAGATTAATAGAACCATTAGAGTTGATGTTGGGATGGTAAACTCGCGTAATGAAGCTCACCTTGGGCGGTTTGAAAGGATAACCGGACGGGAAACGAATGTCCAGGTGGAACACTCCATTCTCATACGAACTATCGGGCGGACCGAGAATGGTGCCACGCCAATGGAACATGTCTTCGTCGACAGGACCAGCAGTGCAGGACGGTGGTGGGTCTTGCAAAAAGTCTTTAAGCTCTTTAGTGATACGCCTGAGGGTCATAGGGACGAATTGCTGTTAGTTGTTGTTAGTTGCTGTTTGAAGTTTGTTTGAAGATGAGTAGGTAGTTTGTCGAGTGAACTGCGGCAGGATGAGAGATGAAGGATAGAGTTGCTGCGGCCGTTGACATTGTTTGTGTTCGCACTTGTGTTCGTGCCAGTATGCTTGTGTGATTGTGTCTGTGGTGTTGAGTGAAATCAATCACAAACAACAACAACAACAACAACAACAACAACAACAACAACAACAACAAACCCAAAAAAGCACACTTGATCCAGATTATGGCTTCGCGTGCTTCTGACAGCCACTACGACTCGCGCGATCGCGGCAGCGGTGATCGTCGCACGTCCTCTTCTGCAGCCGCTGCTGCAAGATTAGAAGTCAATAAGCTAGCTTTGGTTCCTCCCATTGTGTATTCATTCCGAGTTGCCAAAGAGTTCAACATTGGCCACATTACTTCCATCTCGTTTGACCCAACCGGCAAACAATGCGCAGTGACTACCACCAGCAACGACATTGTCATCATCGATTGCAACCAAGGTGGTCCGCGCAAGACAATTCCGAGTAAAAAATACGGCTGTGGCCTGGTCCGTTTTACTCACCATCGCGAAGCTGTCATTTATGCATCAACTGCCAAGGGCGAGAGTCACGACATTCGATACCTGTCTACCAAAGACCAAACGTTTTTGAGATATTTCCGTGGGCACACAGACAGAGTTACTGCGCTCGATATGTGTCCAAGCGAAGACAAGTTCATTTCGGCATCGGAGGACCGGACTGTGCGTCTGTGGTCGTTGGCTTCAGACAAGTGCTTGGCTGTTCTCAATCCTCCTAATCTGGCAGGTGTTCAACAGCGTAAGCATCGTGCTCCAGTGGTGGCATTTGATCCGGAGGGCTTAATCTTTGCCGTGTCGTATGACTCTGCCAATGTGATTCTGTACAACTTCCAAGAGATTGACAAGGCGCCATTCATGCGGATAGCAGTCAGCACGTACTTCCATCCATACTTGCCCACTGGACTGCCCGATCTCCCTGAGTTCACTCGCATCCTCTTTATCAACAGTCGCACACAACTCGGCAAATACATCCTCATCACTACCAGTGCCGATTACATGCTTCTCATTGACGCATTCACTGGCGACTTGAAGCTCGTTCTGTGCGGATTCTACAATCCTCCGGACAGCAAAGGCGAGCACGTGACTGCAACTCCGGACGGCCAGTTCCTCTTTGCCGGGCTGGGTGACGGCTCCGTCGCGCTGTGGACTCTGAGCACCATCATGAACGACGAGGGTGATCTGATTCCCAACTCGGTGGTACTGGACGATTTCGAGCGCTATGTGACGGATTTGGAGGCGAATCACTTGGATGCGTCGCCTGTGCATGCAGCGGAGCAGAAAAGACAGGCGAACAATGCCTCGTGGCCACGCATAATGTATCCAACGACAATCTTGAATACGCAGCATGTGGACGGTGTAATGGCGCTCGGGTTTAATCCAAAGTACATGATGATGGTGTCTGGAGCAAATGACATTGGATTGTGGGAGCCAGCTAGTCATTCTGGTAAATAGATTCCTTCTTGCTTTGATTAAAAGGTTAAACACAGTGTTCATATTAGTATAACGTGTGCTAACAGTGCACAACTAGACAAAAGCAATCATCAAGAATCCAGTCGAGATGATACAAAAGAGAAATCGCTCCCAGGTAGGCTCGAACTACCAACCTCCTGATTAACAGTCAGACGCGCTAGCCGATTGCGCCATGGAAGCTTTCTGATCAATATTTCGAAGCATCATTTCAATCACAACGTGTTCTGATCATTTGCAACAAACAATCCTGCCACTGAGAAAGGAGTAGAATGAATCTGTGGAAACTGATGGTTTCAGTCGTCATCAATTGCTTGGTGTATGTCGCTGTAGTCCAATTCGCAGATAGAGCTTGTTCTTTGAATTTACTCTTTTTGAATCCACGATCATTCATATCCCTTCTTATTGCGTCTTCTTGCGTCTTCCTGTTCCCCTCCTGTTTCCCTCTTGCTCTTTGTGCTATGCGTTTCAGGTAACTCAAAGTGTGAAGGTGTCCTACTGTTGAATGAGTGACTGACTGCAACCAATCATCAATCCGTCATTCGATGTCACGCGGTGCTTCGGCAACCTTCGGAATTGGAGTCGCCCAAATATAAACACCACGAGAGCAGCAGCAGCAACAAGCAACAAGAACAGCGGCGGCGCTGGAGTGCAAACTTTTATTCACACACTACCACCACCACCACACGAAGAAACGCGTTTCACAACTTCAACTCCAACTCCAACTCCAACTCCAACTCCAAGCACACCACCAACCAAGATGTCGTCCTCTGTCACCTGCGCCGCCCCACCACAGTTCCGCGAGGAGCTCGCTGCCACCGCCAAGGCCATCGTCGCTCCAGGCAAGGGTATCCTTGCTGCCGATGAGTCCACAGCCACGATCGGCAAGCGCTTCGCTGAAATCAACGTGGAAAACATTGAACCAAACCGCCGCGAATACCGCGAGCTGCTCTTCACCGCTCACCCAGAGCAGAAGCTCGGCCAGTACATTGGTGGCGCCATTCTGTTCGAGGAGACTCTGTTCCAGAAGACCGCCGATGGCGTTGCATTCGCCGAGGTTCTCAAGAACAACGGCGTCATTGTTGGCATCAAGGTTGACCTCGGCACCGTCACTCTCTCTGGCACCAACGGCGAGACCACCACCCAGGGTCTGGATGGCATGGCCCAGCGCGTCCAAAAGTACTACGCCGCCGGCGCTCGCTTTGCCAAGTGGCGCTCCGTCCTCAAGATTGGCGCCAACGAGCCATCCGCTCTCGCCATTCTCGAGAACGCCAAC